TTTTAGGAGTTGATGGAATTGTGTAAAGAAGTTGGAGAAAAGAATAGGAATGCAGTTGGAGCTCGCAACGCTCGAGAATCTTCTGATTCTGAACTATTCTGATTCAGAGACGTTGTACAATGTAGATTGTGTAGAACGAATAGTCCGTCATTTTGTATCATCATTGTCATCCTTACAGTTACCTGAGTTCTCTCCTCCATCTTTGGATCCAGTGACGTCTCCTTCTTCGGCGCCTTTAAGAAAAGTGGCGAAGCTGATCGATAGCTACATGGCTGAGGTTGCTTCCGATGTAAATCTAAAACCGGATAAGATGCGGTCTCTTGCAGCAGCTCTTCCAGAATCTTCAAGACCCTTGTATGATGGTCTATACAGAGCTTTTGATATCTATTTCAAGGTTGGATCATACTCAATTCTTTAAATGTTTTTCTTTAAAAAGATCCAATATTGAATATGAATCTGAACTTGTCAGGAGCATCCATGGCTATCAGATAAAGACAAGGAACAACTCTGCAACATCATGGACTATCAAAGACTCTCTATAGACGCTTGCGCTCATGCTTCCCATAACGATAGGTTACCACTCAGAGTTGTTCTTCAAGTCCTCTTCTTTGAACAAATGCATCTAAGAACCGCTCTTGCAGGCGGTCTCAATGTTGCAAACACCGAAACAGCTCATGCACTGACTATCCCTGGTAGAAGAACTGGACAGGAGATAGTTCAGCGAGATGGTTGGGTGACCGTTGTGCGTCAAAACCAGGTTTTAAAAGTTGATATGCAGAAAATGAGGTCACGGGTTGGAGAATTAGAAGAGGAGTTTCAGAGTATCAAGCAGGAGATGAAGAAGAGAGTGAGCAAGCCCTCTAGCTCAATGGGCTCGCCTCGTCTGGTCAAGCTCGGCTGTAAATTTCTTCTTCCACGAGCCTCTGATGCCAAGAATGATACAGTCCAGAACTCAGTGTCCAGCACTCCTAGATCTGCTGCCGCTGACCACGCACTCCCTCGTTCCTCCCGCCATTCCAAACACCGTAAAAGCTTCTCCTTTTTCGGATAATCTTCATTCAAAAACATTTATCATCCCCTATTCTCCTAAAGCCAATCACAGAGAAAGTTCTTTTTCCTTACCTGAGGCATTCCCTTGAGGAAGTTTCTTTCGTTTCCCGGGAAAACCAGCAGAAAGTTCCTCCCTTTCCCGGGAAAACCAACAGAAACGAGATTGCTTCGTTTTAAGAGGAAAAGGGCCCAAGAACAGAAGCTGGCCATTTGAAGAAGAAGACGATCTCTTTCTGCTCAGCAAACTGTTCCGTGTTCTTTGTCCCTCTTCGGTTTCAAGAATTTGCCGCAGTTTTTCTCCCAAGGTAAAAGCTTTGAAGACTCTTCCATCAAAGGTGATAGAGTTTCGAAAAAGCCGGGCGATCTTGGTGGTTTTTTTTGGATATGGGTATACACGATCAAAGTAAATAACAAGAGCTAGGATCAATAGAACAAAAAGAGTATAATTCTTGTCTGATTTGATATGTTTGTGTTTGAATATATGTAGATGTCTTGTAACTATCTATGTGTAAATCTTTCTTCGTTTTGTGCATTTGTCAATAGTATAGAATCTTTTTTTTACTTTTCAGAGGCATTGTAACAAACAAAGGACTACTAAAGCTATACTCAGAAAACTATACTGTTACAGTTGATCCTCAAGATGATTTTCGCGGGAGCTCTGTATTATTAAAATAAGTCAAACAATTCTCTAACTAAATTACACTAAAACAGAACAAAGAACCATTTTTGAAGTTGATATATAAAATAGATGTATTTGGGTCTTTGGTGGGTTATTAAAACAAACAAAAAAAATTCCCATTTGGGTCACGAAAGAAAACCTTACTAAAGTCGACGGAGCAAAGAGACCAAAACAAAAGCTCAAAATTGAAGCTTGATTGATCGTGTAAGTTTAGTGTATCCTTTGATTTCGTTTTCAATTTGGTGAATGAATTTCCTGTTTCCTGGAAAGAAAGCTTGAACCTTTAGGGCTTTTAGGGTTTAAAGCTTTGACCTTTAGCTTTGTTAGTTCGATTAGTCACTTTGCCTCTCTCGGTGGCTCTGTGGAAAGCATCTCTGAGGCAATTTTGAGCTTTGTCTACGTTGTCGGAATGTTCCAATTTATTCAAAGTTTTGTACTTTACATGCTTGTGGTGGTTGTGGTATATTGTTGGCTGCAATGTGTGAATTAGTGGAGTTCAAATTTCATGTTTCAGGTACCATTAGGGATGGGGTCTGTCTCTATGGGTTCCAAAAAGTTGAATACATGTTGTGTAGCTTCAATGAATCGTCTTCCAGACGAGCTTCTTGTCCAAATATTGTCATTGCTTCCCACTAAACAAGCTGCTTCAACATCTGTTTTCTCCAAGAGGTGGAGGACTCTGTTTGCTTTCCGGCATGACCTTGATTTTGACGACTCCATCTTTTGGCACCCAGAAGAGGGTAAACAGGATAGGGACGACATTCAAGAGAGTTTCCGGTCTTTTGTGGATAGAACATTGGCTTTGCAAGGCGGTGCCCCTATCAACAAGTGCTCACTTAAATGTGGAAATGAACATGACGATGAACCTGACGATGTTCATGTTGATCGCTGGATAAGTAATGCCCTGGAACTCGGTGTCTCTGAGCTTCATCTATGCTTATCATCTGTGACTAGACATCTTTTCCCATCCAATATCTTCAGCAGCACAACACTGGTTAAGCTGACGTTGGGAACAAAACTCAGCATCCACAGTTTTCCTTCTGATACGTCTCTCCCAGCACTCAAGGTTCTCTTTCTTGATTCGATTTGGTGTGACATTGAAGAGTTCTCTGGTGTGTTTCTCGCTGGTTGCCCTGCACTTGAGGACTTAACCATACAGCACAATGATTCATTTCCAGGAATGACAGGCGTCATATCCAGCAAAACCATTAAGAGACTCTCCATTTCCTATAACTATGCTGATTATGTTGAATTTTGTAGCATTTATGCACTTGACACTCCAAATGTTGTCGACCTCTACTACTCTTGTTATGCTCGGCCTTGGTATTCACATTGTAATTTGGATTCACTTGCCAAAGCTACGCTGGACCTTCGTATGTTAGAAGGTGAGGGGGTGATTGATGCCGATGTGACGGAGCTCATCAATGGGATACACAACGTCAAGACCCTTCACTTGACTTTTTCTTCTGTTGAGGTCAGTTTCTTTGTATGGTCTCATCATCTTTTGGTTAGAAACATGATAACATTCTTTGTGTGTGTGTGTGTTTCAGGTGATTTCGGTATGCTGCAAAGGTGGACTACCAGTGTTCGAAAACCTCGTTGATTTAGTGTTTTTGGGTAACATAGGCCAAGGTTGGAAAGTGCTACTGCCACTCCTGCTTGAGAATTCTCCAAATCTAAAAACTCTGGTTCTCTCGGTATGATTTAAAATCTTACTTTATATGTATGACTGTGGCATGAAATTAAAATAGTCTCTCCTCTTTATACTTCAGGCTCTGGATCATTGGACATATAGATATTGCTTTGTGGGGATTCGCATTACCCCAAAGAACCAAGTAAAGATGCTGAGTATCATGCAGTATGAAGGAAGTGCAAAGGAGCTGAAACAAATTAGCCATTTTTTACTGAAAATGGAGTGTCTTGAAGTATTGAAAGTTTATGCTGCAGCTGCAATCAATGACTCTAAAAAGATACAACTCACAGAGGATCTGTTGAAGCTTCCTAGAGCATCATCTAAGCTCAAGATACAAGTCATGTGATCATCATCCCTAACTAAGGTATTTTTCGGCAAAAAATCAAATTGTAAGTGTTTCTTTTTTCTTTGTTTTAGTGATTTATGATGTAATATTGCATCTACTATATACCCTGCCTAGTCCATGTTTAGGGGTTTATGAGGTATTTTGGTCCTTAAGTTATTGGCTTCTTGAACAATTGTAGTATTGGTGATATTATATTCTCCAGCAAAACGGGAACAGTATTGGTGATGTTCTTGATTTTTGTTTGCTTCGTCCTCTATGTCACCGCTGCCAAAAGTCTTTGAGTTTCACAGAGGGAAACAAATGTTAAATCCGCCTCTTTAGTTTGATGAGTGTGTGTTTGCTCAAAATTGATTCCATCATCCTATTTTTTTTGTGCCGGTATCTCCGAGACCAAATTTTTTCTCCTTTTGCAACTCCTCGCTTGCCATCTCATTCTAAAGATGTTCCGAGAGAAGAGTTTGGAAACTGTTCGGTTTGTTGATGAGAAAATTTGGATCTTGAGATGGGAAACAAATGACTCTTGCCAGAAACAGTCATATCTCAACCATTAAATAGATAGTACAGAAAATGTTCTTCAGGTTTTGCAAAACAGGGTTGACAAAGTGAATCCCTGAGTTTGTTGATGATGTGAAGATCCATTTTTTATAAGATATAGTCTTCATCTCTGAACTTGTATTTATTAGCTCCAACGTCTCCCTAGTCCTTGTATGAATCAGATTTAAAGTCCTTTCCCTCGTGGAATGCTGTTGCTTCTTTCACAAGGAACAGAAACACACAAAACATGTTTTGGGCTGTTAGCCCACTTTTTGATTGTCCCCTGCGGCCCAACTTTTGGTCCAGCTAACGGTTACTTGACCCGTCGACAACTAGATCCACGAAAACACCCAAATTTCTTCTGTTTCAAGCAAAGACCATGATACAAATAGACCTATGACGACAATTAATTCTCTACCTAATGTTAAATGTTAAAAACTTATAAGAGCAACAAAAAAAGCAAACCATTATTGATTTTTCTCTATCTATGATTTGAACTGTATCTTACAAGTGTAAATTGTAATCTTTATTATTAATACAATCTTTCTTTATATAAATAAATTAAAATACTATAAATTACCTAAAAATAGAAGAAAATACAAATTTCCCGCGTGGCGGCATTACACGAATAGTTACCCAATAGTAACCAATAGATGATCAGTTTAGTGAAGCTAACCTATCCATTTAACGATAAGCTCCATTATCCTCTCATCCACCTTATAAACAACCTAAACACTGATCAAGAGACAAAAAAGACCAAAAGAGATAAAAAAAAAAAACAAATGGAAAATGGAGAAGAAGTTGTTCCTGTAAGTCTTCTATATTCACTAAGTGAATGATTTTCATGTATTTATCAATTTGGTGAATGAAGTTTTCATGTCTCGTGGAGAGAAAGCTTTAACCTTTAGGGCCTTGGTGTTAATTGAACCTTAAAGCTTTGACCTTTAGCTTTGTCTTAAACTCTCTCTTTTGTAGTATATTTAATATGGAAATTGGGATCTATTTGTTTAAGAAGAAGCAATTGGATGTATAGGTTGTCGGAATGTTCCAATTTCTTCAAAGTCTTGTACATACTTGTGGTATATTCTTGGTTCTTGCATTGTGTTAATTAGTGCTTGAGCTCAAATTTCATGTTTCAGGTGCCACTAGGGATGAGTTCTGTCTCTACGAATTCACTGAATTGTCTTCCAGATGAGCTTCTTGTCAAGATCTTGTCGTCCCTGGAAACGAAACAAGCTGCATCAACCTCTATTCTCTCCAAGAGGTGGAGGACTTTGTTTGCTGTCCGGCGCAATCTTGACTTTGACGATTCCATGTTTTCGCACCCGGAAGAGGGTAAACAGGATAGAGACGACATTCAAGAGAGTTTCCGGGATTTTGTAGATAGAACATTGGCTTTCCAAGGCAGTGTCCCTATCAACAAGTTCTCACTTACTTGTGGAAATGTACATGACGATGTTCGTGTTGACCGCTGGATAAATACCGCCCTGGAACACGGTGTCTCTGAGCTTCATCTATGCTTAACATCTGTGACTCGACGTCTTTTCCCATTCAATGTCTTCAGGAGCAAAACATTGGTTAAACTTACTTTGGGAACAAAACTCATCATCGTCTGTTTTCCTTCTGATACGTGTCTTCCGGTGCTTAAGATTCTCGTCATTGATTCAGTTTGGTTTGAGAGAGAAAATTTCTCTAATGTGCTTCTTGCTGGTTGCCCTGCACTTGAGGACTTAACCATAGACCAAAAGTCTTTTCCGGGATTGCCAAACGTTGTTTCCAGCAAAACCATTAAGAGACTCTCCATCGTCTATATACGTGCGAATGATGCTGATTGGTTTCGCACGGTTGCGCTTGACACACCAAAGCTTCTCACCCTCTTCTACTCTACCTATGCTCGGCATAGGTATCGACATTGCAATTTAGACTCGCTTGTCAAAGCAACACTTGATCTTCATTTCTCAGAAAATGAAATTTTTGATGAGGCTTTTGAACCGAATGTGACGGATCTCATGATTGCGGTGCGCAATGTCAAGATGCTTCATTTGACTTTTTCTGCTACTGAGGTCAGTTTCATTTTGTGTAGAGTCTCATAATCTTTCGGTTAGAAAACATGATAACATTCTTTGTGTGTGTGTTTCAGGTGATTTCGCAATGCTGCAAAGGCGGACTCCCCGTGTTCGAAAACCTCCTTGGTTTAGTGTTTTTGGGTAACACTGAACGAGTTTGGAAAGTGTTTCTTCCACTTCTGCTAGAGCATTCTCCAAACCTAACAACTCTGTTTCTCGAGGTAAGAAGTAAAATATTACTTTACCTAGCTATATATGAATGTGGCATGACATTAAAGTAGTCTCTCCTCTCAATACTTCAGGGTCTGTATCATTGCACAGATGAACATGAGTTTGATGAAATCCGCATTCCCCGGAGTAACAAAGTTAACATGTTGCGTATCATACAGTGTCAAGGAAGTGAAATCGAGCTGAAACACATTAGCCATTTCTTACTGAAAATGGAGTGTCTTCAGCTGGTGCATGTTAACTTTTCAGAGACAATTGTTGACTCCAAAAAGGTTCAACTCACAGAGGATTTGTTTAAGCTTCCCACAGCTTCATCCAAGCTCAAGATGCAAATCATCTGATCATCATCATTCATCATCATCATCATCATCATCATCATCATCATCATCATCCATGTGTTTGTTCTATTTCTTCAAAACTCAAATTAGTATAAGGTCTTTATGTTATAACTATTTATGGTTTATGTTTACTGTTTAGGTATTTTGATCTTGAAACTATGGCTTCTTGAACAATTAATGTTTCTTTTATGTTTCTTTGGTATAAAGAATAGTATTCGTGATATTATATTCTCCGGCAAAACGGGAACAACTATGATGTGCTTTGATTATTCTTTTGTGTTGGCTTTTTCGTACTCTTACCATAGAAGTTACTAGTTTTGGAAAAGACAGGGCTTTGTGATTTTTGTAGTTTTTCGGATATGGACAAGAGTTAGAATCTATAGACCAATGAACATAAAATTCTTGTCTGATTTGATATGATTGTGTCTGAATCTATATTACAATGACTGCATTTTTAAAATTTAATTAGAAATATAATCAATCAAATTATAACACTAAATTCATTTTAGATTATGAAGTTAATTTTTTATCGGAAGTCCCCGCAGGGACAAGTTACGAATTTGATTATTAATATTAATTAAAAAATCTAGTAATAGTAGTTTGATTTTTAAAAATTAATATGAATTCACTTGTTATCAATAAAAAATTGTAATTATAATTTTTTGGACCAAAATTTTGTATATCAAATTTTAGGAATGAAATATATTATAAAATACTGAATTTGTCCTCTAATTAAATGTAAGTTTTATCATACAAACCAATTTAAAAGATTTACTAAAGAAGAAAAGATTTAAAGATTTTTTCCTTTTTGTTCCTCTTCAAATTCGTTGACCAATAATTTTGTTTTATGGTTCTTGGTTCATCATAAAAAGAAGATTATTGCAGAATTATGTGGGGTCTACTTTGAGTAAACATTCCTTCTAAATGGTAAACATTTTGAGGAACAAGTATGAATATGATATTTGTCCTTATTCTATTCCTAAAAAGTGGTCATCAATAAAATTCTTAGAAGTCTTTAGAGTAATAAACAACAATCATTTTATACCAAACTTGTTCATGCATAACTTCATTTCCACTTGTTTTGTTTAAAGAGATTATCCTCTTAGGAACAATGGTGGATTACATGCTAAAGAGATTATCCTCTTAGGAACAATGGTGGATATATTTAAGTAGGTAGTTCATATTATGATGATTTTATGAACATATAATGATTCAAGGCACAGTTTTGCAGCGTATAGGCTTAACCTTTTTGAGTATAAAGTAAAAACTCTATAAATTAATAATGACCGAGTACTGTGAACCCTTTGAAATTGTACTTATTAGCTCCAACGTCTCCATAGTCCTTGAATGAATTAGATTTAAATCTCTTGGAATGCTGTTGCTTCTTTCACAAGGAACAGAAACACACACAACATGTTTTGGGCTGTTAGTCCACTTCTTGATGTCTCCTGAGGCACAGCTTTTGGTCCAGCTAACCGGGCTCCCTGACCTATCGGTAATTAGTTCCACAAAAACAACAAAATTTCTTCTGCATCAAGCAAAGAAAATTAAACATAGGGTACGATAGAGTTATGCCAATTAAGTCTACTTAATGTATGTAAAGGCTTAACAGCTAGCAACAAAAGAACACCAAATCGTTATAGATTTTTTTTTTCTATATATTATTTGAACTATATCTTAGAACTGTAAATTTCAATCTTTATGATTAATACATTTCAATTATATATAAATTAAACACTAAAATTACCTACAACAAAAGAAAATGCAACATTTCCCGCGTGGGGACATTTAGAGGATACTTAGCTAGTAACAACTACCAATAGCTGATTAGTTTAGTGAAGCTAACAAATCCATTTAGACATTATCCTCCTCCACCAAAAGAAAAAAAAAACACCAAACTGAACGTTTAGAAATGGAAAATTGAGAAGAAGAAGTTGTTGATCCTGTGTAAGTCTTGTATATTCCTTGAGTGAATGATTCTCATGTATTTATCAATTTGATAAATGATTTTCATATCTCATGGAGAGAAAGCTTGAACCTTTAGGCTTTTAGGGTTTACATTGAACCTTAAAGTTTTGACCTTTAACTTGGTATACTGTCTTGAACTCTCTCTCTCTCTTTTTAATCTTTTAACTGTCTATGGAAAGCATCTTATCATCTGAGGTTTTGTGGTGGCAATTTTGAGCTTTGTCTAGGTTGTCGGAATTTTCCAATTTCTTCAAAGTTTCCAACATGCTTGTGGCTGAAATTTCATGTTTCAGGTGCCACTAGGGTTTGGTTCTGTCTCTATGGCTTCATTGAATTGTCTTCCAGATGAACTGCTTGTCAAAATCTTGTCCTTCCTTCCATCAAAACCAGCTGCTTCAACCTCTGTCCTCGCCAAGAGGTGGAGGACATTTTTTGCTGCAGTCGGGCCTAATCTGGACTTTGACGACTCAAACTTTTTCCACCCAGAAGTGGGTGAACAGGACATGGACGACATTCAAGAGAGTTTCCGGTCTTTTGTCGATAAAACATTGGCTTTGCAAGGCGGTGCACCTATCAACAAGTTCTCACTTAAATGTGGAGATAGACATGATGAGGTTCATGTTGACCACTGGATAAATAACGCCCTGGAACACGGTGTCTCTGAGCTTCATCTACGCTTAACAGATGTTATGCGGTGTCATTTCCCTTCTAATGTATTCGTCAGCAAAACGATGGCGAAGCTGACATTGGGAACAGAAATCAGCATCGTTCGTGTTCCTTCTGTTACGTCTCTTCCTGCAGTACTTAAAACTCTCTTCCTTGATTCAGTTTGGTTTGATAAAAGAGAGTTCTCTGATGTGTTTCTTGCTGGTTGCCCTGCACTTGAGGACTTAACCATCGACCAAAAGTCTTTTCCAGGATTGCCAAACGTTGTTTCCAGCAAAACCATTAGGAGACTCACCATCGTCTATACATGTGCTCATGATGTTGATTGGTTTCGCGCTGTTGCACTTGACACACCAAGTCTTGTCTCCCTCTTCTACTCTACTTATGCTCGGCATAGGTATCGACGACATTGTAATTTGGATTCACTTATCAAAGCTACATTGGATCTTCATTTCTTAGAAAATGTCAAATGTGGTGAGCCATTTGGCCCAAATGTTACCAATCTCATCTATGGGATACGCAACGTCAAGATCCTTCACTTGACTTCTTCTGCTGCTGAGGTCAGTTTCATTTGTGTAAAGTCTCATAATCTTTCGGTTAGAAAACATGATAACATTCTTTGTGTGTTTCAGGTGATTTTGCAATGCTGCAAAGGCGGACTCCCTGTGTTCAAGAACCTCCTTGATTTAGTTTTCTTGGGTAACACTGAACGAGTTTGGAAAGTGTTTCTTCCACTTCTGCTAGAGAATTCTCCAAACCTAACAACTTTGTTTCTCGAGGTAAGAAGTAAAATCTTACTTTATCTATATGAATGTGGCATGACATTAAAGTAGTCTCTCCTCTCAATACTTCAGGGTCTGTATTGTCAGTAGCGGACCTATGTGTATCAAAGGAGGGTCAACTGACCTCCTTAAATTTCAAAATTTCTTGTTAATAGCATAGGTTATGTATATTTAAATCTAGCACAATTTGGTTTAATGATATAATGTTATAGCAATTTGACCCGGGTAATAAAATATCTTGGGTCCGCCCCTGTGTATTGTTGCACAGATGAAGATGAGTTTGATGAAATCCGCATTCCCCGAGTAACAAAGTAAACATGTTGCGTATCATACAGTGTCAAGGAAGTGACAACGAGATGAAACACATTAGCCATTTCTTACTGAAAAGGGAGTGTCTTCAACTGGTGCATGTTAACTTTTCAGAGACAATTGTTGACTCCAAAAAGGTGCAACTCACAGAGGATTTGTTTAAGCTTCCCTCAGCTTCATCCTAGCTCAAGATGCAAATCATCTGATCATCAACATTCATCATCATCATCATCCAAGCTCAAGATGCAAGTCATTTGATCATCATCGTCGTCATCATCATCATCATCATCCATGTGTTGTTCTATTTCTTCAAATTAAACTCAATTGATAAGGTCTTTATGTTTTAACTATTTATGATTTATGTTTAGGTATCTTGGTCCTTAAGCTATGACTTGAACAATTATTGTTTATTTTTGTGTTGGCTTATTTCGTACTCTTACCATAGAAGTTAATAGTGTATCGGAAAAGACAGGGCTTTGTGATTTTTGTAGTTTTCGGGATATGGATATGATTGTGTTTGAATCTAGTATGTAACAATAATGACTGCGTTGTTAAAAATTAATTAGAAATATATTAAATCAAATTTTAATACTAAATTCATTTTAGTTTATGAAGTTATGAAGTTAATTTTTTCTTGGATGTCCTCGAAGGGACAAGTTATGAAGTTAATATAAATTAAACTTTTATTAAAAGATTTAGGGAGATTGACAAAAATAGCACTAAAATAAGTTTTTCTTCCAAAAATAGCACTACATTTGAAAAATACCACAAATAGCACTATAAACTTTAATTAATTATTAAATATTAGTAATTAGTTTAATTAAAATAAATAAATAAATAAAATTGGAAATTTCCCGCCAAAAAATTATCGCGACGTAAAAATATTTTCCCGCCAAATTTTTTTTTTCGAAATTTTCCCGCCAAATTTTTTTTTCAACATTTCCCGGAAAAAAAAATTCCGTCAAAATTTTCCCGCCAAAAAAATCCACGAAATTTAGGAAGGATTCAACGAAATTCAGGAAGGATTTCACGTAATTTAGGAAGGATTTCATGAATTCATGAATTTTAGGAAGGATTCCACGTAATTCAGGAAGGGTTTCACGATTCGTGAAAGCCTTCCTAAATTACGTGAAATCCTTCCTAAATTTCGTGGAATCCTTCCTGAATTTCTTGGATTTTTTTTTGGCGGGAAAAGTCGGACGGAATTTTTTTGTCGGGAAAATTTTGAAGATACTTTTTTTTTCCGGCAGCGGCAAATATTTTGGCGGGAAATTTTGACGGAAATTTTTTTGGCGGGAAAATTTTGACGGGATTTTTTTTGCCGGAAAATATTAGTGATTAATTTGTGATTTTTTGTAATTATTTATTAATTTAATAAATAAAAAATAAAGTGCTATTTTTGTCCAATAAATTTTTGAATGCTATTCTTGTCCGAAAAACTTGATTTGGGGCTGTAAGAGACAATTTCTCAAAGATGTATTTATCAAAATTAATCTAAATAAAATTTGTAATATTAGTTTGATTTTTAAAATTAATATGAATTCACTTGTTATCAATCAAAAAAATGTATTCTTAATTTATTATAATGTTTTCTACCAAACTCTTTACCTTTAAATAGTTGATAAAATATTGAATTTTTCCTCTAATTAAATGTAAATTTTATCATACAAACCAATTTCAATTATTTACTAAATAAAAAATGACTTTGAGATTTTTTTCCTTTTTGTTCCTCTTCAAATTTGTTGAACAATAATTTTGTTTTATGGTTTATCATAAAAAGAAGATTATTGAGGAATGATGTGGGATCTACTTTGAGTAAAAATTCCTTCTAAATGGTAATCATTTTGAGGAAAAAAATTGGAAAATGATATTCGCCCTTTATTCTATTCCTAAAAAGTGGTTATCAATAGAAGTCTTAGAGTAAGCAATATTCAATTTATACCAAATTTTCTCCCAAGTACTTGTATGATTTGTATGAATCAGATTTGAAGTATTTTTCCCTCTTGGAGAGATGTTGCTTCTTTCACAAGAAACATAAAAACAGGTTTTGGGTTGTTAGCTCAGTCTTGATTTTTCATGTGGTCCAAATTTTGGCCACGGGTTCCAAGACCGTCAAAAATTTGATCCACAAAATCAAACTACACCAAAATTTATTTGGCATCGAGCAAACAAAGTAAACATAGGATACAATGGAGCTATGCCAGTTAATTTCTACCTAATGTTAAATTGAAAGGCTTCTAAAAGCAACCAAAAAAGCAAACCAATATAGATTTTTATTTGTCTATTATTTGAACTTTATCTTACAAATGTAAATTGTACTCTTTATTATTAACAAAATCAAATTATATATAAATAAAAAAAACTAAAAATTACCTAAAAATGAAAATTACAAATTTTCCCGCGTGGCGGCTTTACACGATTCCTTATCTGGTAATAACCAATAGCTGATTAGTTTAGTGAAGCTAACCTATCCAGTTATTGATAAGATCCTTTATCCTCCACCTTATATACAACCTAAAGAATCAAGAAACCAAAACAAAAAGAAAAAACTCAAAACTAAACCTTAAGGCTTTGACCTTTACCCTTCTATTGTTTGCCTTCTATTGTAATTTTCCCAATATGGAAACTGTATCTATTTGTCCGTGTGAAACATCTCATCATCTTAGGTTTTGTGGGGTCAATTTTGAGCTTTATCTAGGTTGTTGGAATATTCCAATTTCTTCAAGTGATACATGTTGTATTTTACATAGTTTTGGTATACAGGTTCTTGATATGTGTTATTAGTGATAGAGCTCAAATATCATGTTAATGATGATGTGATGATGACGATGATCATGATCACATGACTTGCATATTAATACTTCAGGGTCTGTTTCGTTGCACATATGAAGATCAGTTTGATGGGATCAGCTAGAAAGGTGCAATTCAGAGAGGATTTGTTGAACTTCCCACAGCTTCATACCAAGCTCAAGATGCAAATCATATGATCATTCTCATCATCATCATCATCATCATCATCATCAAGCCATAGTTTTGTTATATTGATTTATTATTACTGTGCAAACTTGGCTATTAATTTGCCTCTATTCTCTGCCCTATCAAGTCCATGTTTAGGTATGTTGGTCCTTAAATTATGGCTTCTTAAAAAATTTATAGTTCATTTAGTTTTATGAGTGTCTTTATGTTCTTTCTCTTAAAGAGGACTAACTCTGATGTTCTTGATTTTTGTTTTGGTGCTGGATTTTTCGTTCTGCTCTATCTTGTTGGAATCCAATCTTCGATTAATCATCAAATTGGTAAACATGAACCGAGATTGAGAAAAGAGTAATGAAGACGAGAAGAGTAATGAACAAGAGAGAGGAAGATTTTTCTTGTCATTAAGAGAGAAGAAAAATGGTTTAGTATAATGCATTATATGAGTTTGGGCCTCTAATCTCTTTATCCCATAAGTGTTAATTGGTTGGTTAGATTACAAAACCATAGGTTAAAAGTAAGAAGCATACATATATGTAAGTATATCATGTATAATGAATCTTATCTAAGAGAGTTTAAGCAAACACAAAGTGGCTAAACCTTGTTAAGCGACTATGGTAGCAGATCTGTTGGATCTTGGTGTTCCTAGAGTTATCGGAGAGATTAGATAAGAGACTCAGTTCTTCTCCAAGAAATTCAGACCAAGAAGAGGGTGCTTTGCTTGTTGAAGATCTAGGCATCTTGAGAAAGACTTTTGGACCAAACAACGTCAAGCGAGGCAAGCACAAGAGCAAACCACATGACTAGAGAAGAAAGACTATTTACAACAATATATAGATAAATCATTTCAAGTGCCTATTGATAACAATAGCCTCAGGTAGTGGCGGACCCATGATTAATTTTTACCTCGGTCAGAGATTTTTTCTTTGAACATGTAACAAAACAAAATTTACCCAAAAGTGTAGGGGAGGATCGAACTTGAAATTAATACACCAACTGTGCTACTATCTCCTTGAGGATTACTTTGCATTAGGTAATACAATTGCTTATTTCATTTATTTTTAGTCTCTTCTCAGTGATCTTTCTCAGGGTTTGCGTTTTCTTTCTTTCCTTATCTTGTTATTTCTTCTCCAATCTCGAGTTCGATACCAAATAACATATCTACATGTAGACTCTTTCTATCTTTGTGATAAGTCAATTTCTCTTTTAGAGAAAAATTCTATTAAAATCATAAATATTTTTTTCGATTTAAAATACAATATTTGGACTTTGAAATTAATACACCAACTAGTTAATAAAAAATTTCCATTAGTGATACTCCAACTTAATTTTAAATAATATTCATTTAACACCGTCGACTTAATGTTAAGTTAGCGTATGTTATATTTTTCTATATTTTAATAAAATTTTAGTATTTAAATAAATATAAATAAAAAAGGAAAAAAAAATTAATCAGAAATTTCAACTGAAAAAATAAAAAAATGAAAAGAAAATTAATATTAAGCAATGAAAAATTAATATTTTTATTTTGGATGTAAAATTTAAAACTAATAAAATATACAAATATTATACATACAATATGTTATTTTAGTAGTAACTGATATTTTATTTTATTGAGAAAACCAAAGATAATTTTTTTTATAATATTATATCAATTTATGTATTTACAAGTGTATACTTCATTTACCAAATATATATATATATTTCAAAATACCTATGCTTCGCATATAACCACATTACAAAAAAATGTAAGGTGTGTCTAGTTTGTGTTCATTGCCAAAAGTTCAGGCAAAAAAGTTGCATAGAAACACTTTAGAAGCGCATTTGCAAAAAAGTTTCTTAATATTTGAACTTTTTATTTATTACGGTTCTGATCATCATATCTTCTACAAATTAAATGCCTCGAATTCCAGAAAGAAAAAAAAAAAACTGATCAAAACAGATACGGTTAATGCTCAAACTGTGAGTAAACTGATCAAACAGATACGGTTAATGGTCAAAAGAACATTAACGTTTGATTACTCTTTGAAATTTTACGATGTTAAATGCAAATGGAATGTTAATTAATGGAAGGTCCTCCCTTCGAAATTTCAAAAGAGCAAATTGATTACTCTTTGAAAAACTACAATGTTAAAGCAAATAACTATTTGGAAACATGAAACTGGTTGTTAATTGGTCGATATTTTAAAGAGTAGTGAAATGGTTTTGCTATTGAGAAAGTGGACTACTTGACTTGACTTCATTTTAGCAAAAGTCTTGCATCTTTTTCTATGTTTATCCTCTATATAAGTTGCATTACTACCACCATAGTTTGCATATTTTGTTCCTCCATTATACTCACTTTCAAGAAAAATATGAGATTCTTTCTTTTACTTGCTTTTTTCGGTCCTCTCATGCTACTTGATGAAGCATATCGTTTTACGGATGAAACTGATAGGCATGCGTTGCTGGTGTTCAAGTCTCAAGTTTCTGAAGGCAAAAGAGATGTCATGTCCTCATGGAACAACTCATTTCCTCTCTGCAAATGGAATGGCGTTACATGTGGCCGCAAACACAAAAGAGTTACCGGTATGGACCTTGGAGGATTCCAATTAGGCGGCGTGATATCACCATCTATTGGTAATCTTTCGTTTCTCAAATGGCTTAATCTCTCCGATAACTCTTTTGGCGGTACCATCCCTCATATAGCTCTGTTTCTATTAATGATTCTGCATCCCTCAAATCCCTCATAGATTTCGATTTGTCTATGAAATTTATGTTCTTTTATTGGTGGATTAGAAGATTGATTCCGTTGAAGATTGATTTCGATTTGTTTCTGAAATTTGTGTTCTTAAATTTTTGTCAGCAATATTCACTGCCAACGGAGTGATCCCACTTGGTTTTTCACCTTCTGCTAGAACCGTGACCTGGACGTAAGTAAAGTAAGCACAAGTGACAAGTCTCACGCATTACGTCACTATGCTCAGAAAAACAATCAAATTTAGCTTTCTTCATTAGTTACACTTAGAGCTTTGGTATTACTTGAGAAGATCAAGTTGTTATCTCAACAGATATGTCTTTAAAAGAGTTGGATTATTATTAATTTTTGGCTTTTGATGATTTCCAAAGTACAGAATTGAAAACGTTTTGTTACTACAGGAAAGAAAACATTCCTGAAGATCCCTGGTCACCACTTGGAGTTGCAAATAATTTCAGTCATATAAAGTCCCCTGACACAAGCAACGCTAAGACTATGCGACGGCCGTCACTCACAGGTGTAATGCCACCAGGACAAGAAAGATCTTACCATAAAGTTCACGTCTCGCTTTAAGCTTTTTCCATCTGAACAAAATCAATAACTAAGATTTGCTTTTGTAGGTGTTAGGGTAACTGGTACAAGAAATGCCAAGACACGCCTCCACTTATGCGTTCAGCATCAAAGATAGGGAAGAAATGGGCATAAAAAGCTATTGAAGAATAACACGTTTTCTTGCTTTGGCTCGAAGCATAGTATCTAGTTTTTCTTCTTCCTCAGTAAATAAGAACTCAACTTTAGAGTGCTCTGACAGTAACATAGATGGCTCTTGTTTAAGTCATTCTTCAACACTTTTTAATGTCTCTGAAACATTGAATTCATTTATATATCACAGTTTCATTTAAATCTTAAACCTTGTGAATCGCTTTCTTTGTTTTGCCTTTCGAAACTTGAAATCCTTAAACCATCTCATTCAACATTAGTTTGACACCCTTCTACTCTAAAAATACTAGAGTACAGACATGCTCTGTTTGGTGAGACTTACTGACCTTTTCGAGTTCCAAACTGAGTGTTGCTATCCCAAATTGAATCTAGTGGACGTGCAGTGGTCTAGAACATATTCTTCTTCTCCAATTCTTAAGAGTTCGATACCAAATTAACATATTGTGGGGTTATAATTTTACGATTCAGTGTGTAAAGTATAAACTTTTCTTTGCAAGTCTTTGATGGAGATCCTATTACTTCGATACGATTCCACTTTCAAAGGAACACACAGGTTTATCATGAGACTTGTCTTCCAAGCATCAGCTCACTCTATTCACTCTATTAAATGTTAAGGTCTGTTACAGACCTGAACATTTAATCAAGTTTCTAGACGGTCTGGTGCGCAATAAGATTTCCTCTATCCGGCTTCTAGACCCAAGCAAGCTAGAAGATGGTCTTCGAATGTGGTTCGACTCGAGAAACTAAGAATTACATGTGTTGCTTCTTGTCGTTGCTCTAATTTCTATTTTCCTTTTCTAAAAACATTCTTAAGGATACATACAATGTAATGGTTTGTATATATGTAATTATTTAAATTTTAGTATTTGTTATTTGCTCTACTTTTAACGAATATCAATTTTTAGTCTTTGATTTGCTTCGTAAAACTATGGATATCCGGATTTTTTCGAATCAAATAAAACCGAAAAACAAATCGAAGCGAATCTAACAGATATTTTGCCTACCCCTATATCCTCTGATGTCAGTCATCCTCCTTGAATCGGTTTTCAATAAATCGGTTTGAATCATACCTCTTGGGACAGTTACGATCTTTATTTAATGATCTAAAAATGCTAATAAAATCCAGAACAATTATTCAGAAAATAAATGACGATCATGCTCTGTTTGGTTGGTGATAGCTCTTTGCTAGCTAAAAAACACGAAACTTGGTCAATTTTCTACCATGTGACTAAAGATGTCTATATATTTTGGATTCATTCTTGCAGTTTTCTATGTGGCTGTGAGCCAAATGTATTTTCCTTATTTCTTTTAAGTTGAATTACAACTACTACAAGATAAATGCATTTTGCATTTTTCTCCGTCTCTTATCACTCTCCTGCAAAATATGAGACAGTTTCTTTTATTCTCTTACAGTGCTCTCATGTTACTTGATGCATACGGTTTTACCGATGAAACTGATATGCAAGCGTTGCTCGAGTTCAAGTCTCAAATTTCTGAAGAAAAAATAGATGTCTTGTCCTCATGGAATCACTCTTTCCCTCTCTGCAGCTGGACTGGGATTACATGTGGCCGCAAGCACAAGAGAGTGATTGGTTTGGACCTCAAAGGATTGCAATTAAGCGGCGTGATATCACCATATATTGGTAATCTTTCGTTTCTCATATGGCTTAATCTCTCTGATAACTCTTTTGGTGGTACCATTCCTCAAGAGGTGGGAAACTTGTTTAGACTTAAACACTTGGATATGAGCTTTAATCTTTTGGGAGGAGGGATTCAAGTCAGTCTATCTAACTGCTCTAGATTGGTGGTGCTTATTTTTGATTCAAATCATCTTGGGGGAAGTGTTCCTTCAGAACTAGGGTCATTGAGGAAGCTTGTTAGTTTATATCTTGGTGGTAACAACTTGAAAGGGAAGCTCCCTGCATCTCTAGGAAACTTGACATCCCTTAGAGAACTTCACCTTGGATTTAACAATATCGAAGGAAGAATTCCGGATGATATAGCTAGATTGAATCAAATGTTGGTACTTGATTTAGCAGTGAACAATTTCTCAGGTGTTTTTCCTCCCCTCATCTACAATTTGTCCTCACTTAAGTATTTATACATCTCTGGTAATCGTTTCTCGGCTTTCTTAAGATCTGATTTTGGTAAGCTGCTACCAAACCTAGTAGCGTTAAATATGGGACAAAATAGTTTCACAGGAGTCATTCCAACAACACTTTCCAACATCTCGACCCTTCAAAAGTTGGCAATCAATGACAACAATCTTACAGGAAGTATTCCTCTAAGCTTTGGAAAATTACGGAATTTGCAATGGCTATTTCTTTTTAGCAATTCTTTGGGAAGTTACTCTTTCGGAGATCTTGACTTTCTGGTTGCTTTGGCTAACTGCACCAAACTAGAGAAATTAGAGATTAGTGATAATAGGCTCGGAGGTGATTTACCTATCTTCATTACGAATCTCTCCACGAACCTCTACACTTTAGACCTTGGGAAAAATTTCATCTCTGGAAGCATTCCTCGTGACATCGGGAATCTCATAAGCCTACAAAGCCTTGTGTTGCAAGAAAATATGTTGACAGGTGCATTCCCAACTTCCCTTGGTAAAATTTCTAGGTTGGAGGGAATAAATATCGATTCAAATAAAATGTCAGGAAAAATACCATCTTTTATAGGCAACCTCACTCGGTTGGACAAACTGTATTTGTTCAACAACAGTTTTGAAGGAACCATTCCTCTGAGTCTCAGTAACTGTACTTCTTTGCGAGTGTTAATCATTAGGTCTAATAAGTTGCATGGGACTATACCTCAGAATATTATAAAAAATTCAATCTCTTCTTCGCCTAGACATAGCACGTAATTCCTTGACCGGCGCTCTACCGGAAGATGTTGGACGACTTGAATATCTTGTCTATCTATCTGTTGCATATAATAAACTATCTGGACATCTCCCACATTCCTTGGGAAATTGTCTCTCGATGGAAACACTTTTGTTGCAAGGAAACTATTTTGATGGAGCCATTCCGGATATAAAAGGTGTTAAAAGAGTTGATTTCTCGAACAATACTTTCTCTGGGAGTATACCTGCATATCTTTCAAACTTTTCCTTGTTGGAGTATCTTAATCTATCCATCAACAATCTCGAGGGAAGTGTGCCAACTGAAGGGAAATTTCAGAATGCTACTATAGTATTAGTATTTGGAAACAAAAATCTTTGTGGAGGCATCAAGGAATTGAAACTAAAGCCATGCTTAAGGGGAGCTCCACCGATGGGATCAAAGCATTCTTCTCGTTTAAAAAGAGTTGTGATCGGAGTAAGCATAGGCATGGCTTTGCTTTTTCTGCTGTTCGTAGCTTTAGTTTCTCTACGTTGGTTCGGAAAAATAAAGAAGAACCATCAGACTAATAATCCAACTCCTTCCACATTGGATGTCTTTCATGAGCAAATAAGTTATGGAGAGATCCGAAATGCGACTGATGGCTTCTCTTCGAGCAATATGATTGGGTCAGGAAGTTTTGGTACCGTGTTTAAAGCTGTGCTCCCTGCCGAGAACAAGGTTGTTGCAGTGAAAGTTCTAAACATGCAGAGACGTGGAGCAATGAGAAGCTTTATGGCAGAATGTGAATCCCTCAAGGACATAAGGCATCGTAATCTTGTTAAACTATTGACGGCTTGTTCGAGTATTGATTTCCAAGGAAACGAATTCAGAGCTCTCATCTATGAGTTCATGCCTAATGGAAGCTTGGATACATGGCTGCACCCAGAGGAAGTGGAAGAGATTCGTAGGCCTTCAAGAACCTTGACACTTCTTGAAAGGCTAAACATTGCCATAGACGTCTCCTCTGTTTTGGATTATCTTCATGTTCATTGTCATGAACCTATAGCTCATTGTGATTTGAAACCAAGCAACATCCTTCTAGACGATGATCTAACGGCCCATGTTAGCGACTTTGGTCTGGCCCAGCTTCTCCTAAAATTCGACCAAGAGTCCTTCCTCAACCAACTCAGCTCCACCGGCGTCAGAGGAACCGTCGGCTATGCCGCACCGGGTAAAACCGTCACACATCTATAATGTTTTACGTAGAAGATTAATATGTTATTTTTTTTCATATACAATCTTGTTTTTATGGATAATGGTGCAGAGTATGGAATGGGAGGACAACCATCAATACATGGTGATGTGTATAGCTTTGGGGTTCTCCTTTTGGAAATGTTCACAGGAAAGCGACCAACCAACGAGTTATTTGGGGGAAACTTCATCCTACACAGCTACACCAAGTCGGCGTTGCCCGAAAGAGTCATGGATATTGCTGACAAATCGATTCTTCACAGCGGTCTCAGAGTCGGTTTCCCTATTGTTGAGTGCTTAACATCAGTTTTGGAGGTGGGACTTAGGTGCAGTGAAGAATATCCGGCGAACCGGTTGGCAATGAGTGAAGCTGCAAAGGAGTTAATCTCGATCAGAGAGAGATTTTTTAAAACCAGAAGAACAGCTAGACGTTGAAGTGTTTACGATCTCTCTACAAACTTTGAAACCTACCTAAAGGCTAATTCTGAGGCCTCAAAAAAATCAATGTTTTCATAATGTGTAATTTTCCTCTTTATGTACCATAATGCTTGCGGATTATTGTTGATGAATGATTGTGTTATTTGCATACAAATGTTGTGACATTGTTACCTTTGCTACAGAGGACTCAACCTAACAGACCAAAACTTTTAAACGAACAAAGACATATTGGTACACTACAGGTAAAAGAAAACACTAACCAATAAATATCAAATTTCAGAATGATTGTGGAATTGATCTTTTTACTACGGAGAAAGAAATTCATAAATAATGAAGCATATCGAAGACACAGAACCGAAACCAATAATATTAAGAAAACACTTATCCACTCTATATACGAAGATAAATCAAGCAGACGAGCACAAACCCCAATAAAAAGAAGAAATTTCAAGCTCATCTGCCATAATAAGCGAAACGAGGAGGATACAATTTTCGCTCAGATTCATTATGTCAAAGAATGTGGAAGTTAAATTTAGGAAGGGGCTTGAAATCCGAGGGTCCAGCTACTGCCACTCACGGCATTGACCGCAGCTCCAGCTACTTCCGGGTAACGCTGATGGATCTTCCTCCCATGGAGAACAGTGAGAATGTATTAGCAATCCACAAACCGTGCACAAAAGATCAGGCGCTGGATCCATTTGCGAACATCTCTGACATGGACCCATATCTTCACACTCTTCTTCTTCTGTTGGTTCGAAGTGAGGGTTTCCTGAAACAATCTTATCGCCATTTATCTCGTACTGACCACCACCACTATCATCGGCTGTCAGTAGCTCGGTCAACGAGAAATAAGTTTGTGGTTCAAATTCCATGTCCTCGTAGTCGAATAGTAGCTCACCAGACGAATCCCATTCTGTTAGAACAGGTAAAGCTTGCTCATCTGCCTCGGGTTTCACAATAGGCTGCAGTTCAGGATAGCCTGCATTAGAATCTTCTCGTTTCACTTGCCTTCTAACTGGTAGCTTTTGGGATCCAGGCGCAAAAGCAGCGGTGCTCCATTCAAGATCGAAACTACTGGGTGTTATATGTTCGACTTTGGAAACTGAGACCAGGAGAGGATCATCATCTGGAATAAATACGTCTTCAGGAGGATATAAAGGAGTGACAGGTAAGGGAGTAGAAGGTTTCGAGTCTTTTTGTTCAGACATTCTTTCAGAATCAGAATCCAACCCGGAATTTCCTTGCCTCTGTTTCTGGTTCTTGAAGACTATTCTTTTGATCTGCTTCTGTTCCATGAGTTTGGGATCCATGTAAGGGCAATCGGGGGATCGTATACGTCGACATTTGCAACATTTGAACCCAACAACTTCAGGAATTTGTGAATCCTGGAGCTTAACAGCTTCAGTGTGGAACCACTCTGCATTTGAGATTCAGATATTAGATATATAACAATGGAGGCATTCAAGAAATTAAACTTTGAAACAGTTGTCGTTTGAATGATCTCCTTACTTTCACATTTTGTACAGTGAATATACGTTAAACCAGGATTGTATGGCTGTAGGCAGATCCCACAAACCGGTTCCAGACTCGATTGATCTGATCTTCCAGCCAAGAGAATGTTTTGATTCCGGAAATCAACACCAGTGTCCTCCACATTCTTTTTCCTCCATATGACTCCACAGGACAGTGTCTTTTGTTTACTCTTGGATTTCACAGTAGATTCAGGAGTGATTTGTTTAACTCCCGAAGTGTTCTCCCGTGGTTTCTGGGATGGTAATTGTTGACTAGGAGGCTTGATCTTGATGACTGGAGTGACTGCATTTTGAGGTCGTCCGTTGATCTGTTGACTAGGAGGCTTAATCTTGATGACTGGAGTGACTGCATTTTGATGTCGTCCGTTGATCGTGAGCTGGGGTGTTGTCGATTGTCTGTGATTGATATTTGCTGGAACTCGATTTTTTGCAAGGTAACACCGTTTGCAGGTGACCAGAACTTCAACTTTTCCATTTGTGTGTTGTGACATCCAAGTGCACTCCTTGTGACAAAATCCTGAATAAAGAAACAAAACATGACAATCCAACGCTGATGCACAAACATACTGATATATACTACAACAGAAATTTACAGTCCCAAAGCTTGTCAAACATGTGATTAATCCTTTTAATTTTTCTTCTAAACTCTATTAGAGGAGCAGTGAAATTAATCCTTCAGGTTAGCAAATGAGATACTACAATAGAAAAGGATAACGCAGGGCTGCATTCCCAATCCATTTGGTGATTCGTTTACCAGTATTTGCAACTTTTGACCCAGAAGAGCTCAGAACGAATATCATACTTTCTAGTATCACACAAAATGCAAAAATTGAAACAGTAAGAGGATGGTATTGTACCTTGGCAAGAACTGCACGTTGTTGTATCCCTGTCGACATGTCGAGCAAAGAAAAAGTTAATAAAGTAGACAATAAAGTAAAACAGGCACCTCAAAAGGTAAAGAAACCAAAGGATTACCGCAATAGAACATCATGATCACATGATGCACAAGAACATTTCTCCATCTTGTCCCTCCTTGAGGCTATATATGAAAATATGTCCATGCGGGAAGCTTTCAGCTGCTTTCTCTGAAGCTTTGATAATTTATTGGACGGCTTCTTGGTTGAAGAAGGCATTTGTACTCTATGCAAACTCTCTTCAAATTCTTTGATCAAATATAGGGGGACACGGGCTTCTTGGAACCAATACTTTTCATTTCCATCTTGGGTTTTCTCGACCTCAATTACATTCTTCATGACGCGTGATGGCAGATGCTTTTGATTTCCAAAGAAAACTCCGTAGCTAACCTTGTTATCACTAAGCTTTTTGTCACATATACGAGCATTTCTAAAAATGGCAACATCTGTCTCTGGGCCTTTGACATCCTGGAGATTTTGCTCTGGCCGTACAAGTTCACTCCACCTTAAATTCATATCTAGATATCTTACCTGACACAAACGTTTGACTGGGTCTCAGAAATACAGTAAATATACCTATAAAAACTAACTATAATCATAGAACATAGCACAAACCTGAAGAGCGAGCTGAGATATGTTCTTGCTACTTTCAACAGCAGCTTTCCAAATAGACCGTCTGCTTCTCCTAGGGATGTAAGAAGCATCACCATAATTAAATCCAGGAATCTTTTGAGAACCCCCTAATAAGAAACAAAAAAATAATTAGTGTATCCGGAAAACCACTTAGTGGCCCGGAATAGGATTTCTAGAGTGCTAGCATATAAAGGGATTAGAAAACCAAAATAAACTCCCCACATGCTTATGAATGAGAAAAATAGGTAAAATTAGTCGCACATAAGACATAAATAAACAAGTAATAGTATACCTTGCCAAGCTGCTTTCCTTATTGCCGGTTGTGACAAAACTGCTTTCAATAAAATAACTTTTGATAACTTCCCTCCTCGCCACCATGTAAAGCTATCATCGTCGGAACCTTCAGCTGTAACTTCAGCCTGGGTCCTTTGCTTCCTCCTACCAGGTCCACGTTTCTGTGTAACCCCAACAGTAACTGGAGCACTTTGGAAAATAGAATGTTCTACCAACCAGTCATCCATCAGTTTAAACCAATCGCTTGACAGAGCAATACTGCAAATATTTTCCTCAAGCTGCAACCAAGATAAACAAACCACATAGCGGAGAGGAGAACAAGATAGATTAGATGCAACAACAAAACAAATAGGATTCGTATATCACACTATACTGTAGACTATCAAAGTGTAGTCTAGAGAGAAATAGACCAGGAGTGTTCCGTTGTTTTAAGAAACAAAAAAAAAGAGTACATAAGATTGGAAATTTTGTTTAGCGTTTCAGCCAAGAAACTTATTATAAAGAAGAAGTACTCACTTCAAGTAGGAGTGCTTTTAGGGCTTTGCATGTTGAGGCTTCCTCTACCTGCTTACGCCACTGTTTTCTGGGACTTTCACTGAGAAATGGGCCAGCAATCAGACCACGCAAGCTTTCCTCTAGGTATAGAATATATGCTGCAATACTTGAAAGCACTCCCTCCCCATTCTTTAGAGGAAAAAGACCACTGAAGATCTTCATTGCACCCTTAGTGGCACCCGTTACAGCTGCATTTAACATGCAACCTCTCCTGCTTGCAGATGTGAGTTTGCAAGAATGACACCAACCACATCTTTCCCTGGTAATCTCCTTCTTATCAGGACTTGGCCAGAAGAAACGTGAGGCTACTAATGAAAATGCTTTCATCTGCACTAAGATGTTACTTGATGCAGCTTTCCTGGCACTATTGTACTTGCGAAGGTCAGGTTCATGGGTTTCCTCTGACGATAGGACAGCCAAACTGGCAGCAGCAGATACAGCCAATTCTCCATTTGTGTAATGATTGTTGTATGTGTGGGGTTTAAACGATAAACCCAAGTAGGTAACCCCAGTAGCCAATTTCTTCCCCTGTATTCCACTTGAACCTCCTGTAACAGCATTGTCGATATTACCCAAAGTAGATGCCGGGAGGTCAAACACAGTCTGGGTATGATTTCTACTGGAAATATTTGCACTATCTGACTTAGTCATCTCTGTAACCTTGCCATCCTCTCTATCTTTTGCTTGAGCTAAACCAGTCTCCCCTTCCCTCAAGGAGATCATACCTCCAGGAAGATCCCAGTATTGGGTGATCGCTTTGCAAATCTCTAGATATTCTAGTGCATGGTTTGATGCAGATAAAAGCACTAGTACAACTTTTGATATGTCATTGACATTGTAGTACTTGACAACTGCATCTCCATTGACAGATATGTTAAGCCTGTGATGTAAGATGAAAGAAGGAGAATGCTCATCAGTGTCACAGCAAGCAAATTCAAGCGTTCCAAATTAATGCTGGCTAAAACCTGCTAGCAACTATTTGCCTAGGAAGTAGTAAATCTTAAACTAGTAGATCATAGATTTGAAAGATCAGATTACTAACTCTAATTACTGCAAAAAAATTATGTATGAATGAAGGCATCGAAAACATACACCAGTAAGTGATTGCAAGTACCCAAGAATAGTCGCCCATGTGGATCCATTCCAAACTGTACAGCTCCTCTAAGTGAGGTTCCATGAGCAATCTTCGGCCCCTTTTTGTTAATAGTGCACTCTGGACAAAACCATGGCCCGTCTGGTATATACA